GGCTTCATCAGAAAGTGACCTCCAGCACTTACTGGGCCAGTGTGAAATGACAGGAATGAGAATTAACACCTCATAGTCTGAAGCCGGGGTTCTCAGCTGGAAATAAGTGAAATGCCCATTTCAGGTCAGGGAGGAGTTGCTGCCTCAAGTGGAGGAGTTCAGGTATCTCAGAGTCCTGTTCACGAACGAGGGGAGAGTGGTGCTGTACCGGTCTGTTGTGGTAAAGCGAGAGCAGAGTATTGATTTACTGATGAGTCTACGTCTACGTTCCTCCAAACACCTCAACAAGTTCTGGGTAGTGACTGAAAGAATGAAGTTGCTGGGAATGAGCTTTCCTCTTCCGGTGGCTCCTCACCGGAAGAGGAAAGAGAGGGAGAGAGGGTGAGGAGCTGCGCATCGAAAGGAGCCAGTTGAGATTGAGTTGACAGTTGACTAGAGTGCATCCTGGAGATACCCTAGGTGAGGTGTATTGGGCATATCCGGTGTGGAGGAGACCCAGGGCAGACTCAAGAGCTGCTGGAGAGAATACGTTTCCGGCTGGCTTGGGAAGGCCTTGGTTGTCTCTCTGGAACAGCTGGAGGAGGTGGCTGGGGTGGGAAGTCTGCACTGCTTAGACTGCTGCCCTTGTGACCCATACTGGATAAGCAGCAGATGCATAGATGGATTTATGCTGTGAAATAAAGTGAAAGCATCAAAGTCTTCCAAAATATACATTTTGTTATACCATCCAGTACTGCTGCAGACCTGCTGTTCTAAATGGTTCCAAAGTTAGGGACATATTTATCTTTGACCTTTGACATATTATCAGTTTCATGAAAATATTTAGCTTCTCATGTCTGCCATTTCCACAAACTAGGAGGAGGCTGTTGTACCATTGACTGTTTAAAAACAGTACGAGGATATGATGTCTGTGCCAAACTGCCTCTGCCCTGGATCGGATTGCAGCTTTGATGAATAACTACTGTCGTTGCCTGCTTCTCTGTACATGAGGGCATCTGCTGGTGTAGAACAGTTACATGGAGAACTATTTACTTACCTCCCACACACACACATACACACACACACACACACACACTCCTCTCACACAAGTGGAAAGGAAGGTCACTCATATTTCCCTCACAGAAGGCTGGCACACTTGTGTTTACATTGCAGTCCTTACACCCCCATCACTATAGCAACTCATTTTCTTATTTTGTCTGACTACGTGGGTGTTTTTCAGTCATTTCTGTTGTGTGTAATGTGTCGAAATAAAACAATGCTTGTGTAGATGTAAACGATGAAGCTGAGGAAGATGATAAAAGCTGCAAATTCTCTCAGTTTGTCATCCCGAGGTGCAGCTGCGTTGTGCAGTTTTGCTTTTCTGGTTGTACCAAATGGGGTGAGATGAGCTGGCAGCAGTGATTTGCATTTCCTGGCAGTACTAGGTCAGCTGGACTTGGTTTGGATGTGTCATCTGAAGATGTTTGATCATTTCGCACACCCAACACCAGGCTGTAAATTAATCGTTCTCCATGACGTATGTAGGCGGGCTCAACTTCTGTCATTATTATTCAGTTTAAAAAAAACAAAAAAAAAAACTAGAACATACAAAAAAACAAAGTGCTTTTATAGTCAAAATTGCAGTCATTCATGCAGACTAATAATTGGAAAAGATTAATTGAAGTCGACTCCTGCATATCATCTTATTTATTTTAGTAAAGTGTGTTTGCTTTTGTTTTGGGTTTTTTGGTAAGGCTGTGAGATTTAGGTTGAGACCACAGCGTGGGTCTGACACAGCCATTAAGAGTGAAAAGAGCCAGATATTCAGCAGTGGACATGTCTGTACCTGGGGTAGTGTGGAGGAGGCGTTTCAGCACAGGCAGGGCTGGATATTTGAGTGGATGAACACTGAGCCTGTTGGGTGCAAGCATAATCACCCACATTTTTCCACATAATCACTAAAGATACTTTTTCTAAATTAAAAATGTTTCCAAAATAAGTTACAACTGTGAGCAGAAACTGAAGAGGAAAGTACTCTTGATGTCCAACATTTATATATTGTGTTAAAAAGCTGATTCTAGGATGTAAAATAAAGTCAATGAAAGCACTAAATTTGTTGGATCATTTTATGATGAATGGAAATGTGATGGCAGTGAAGTTTAGATTTTGTTTTCTAAAAGGCTTAATGTGTCCCACATTCAAAACATCACATCTGCTTTCTGCTTTGGAAATTATGGTCTCTGCACAGTTGCACAAGAGAAAATAAGACAAAGTGGGCAGACTAAACAAAAATCCAGCCAACATGTTTTTACTAGTTAGTACAAATAAGTGGTGTCATTCTTGGAAGTAAAAACCCTGCAGAGAAAAGTGCTGATACACAAACCCTCTTCATGCCAAAGGGTGTGCTAGTGTTTATTTTTCCCTTTCAACATCTAATCTCACACACACGGTGTTCATGTGCTGTGGTCCTGTCTTTGTTTATGGCCGCTGGAGTTGCATGGTACATAAAAATATTCCAGCACCTTTGGTCAGGGCGTCTGTCAGTGTCTGTAGGCAATGATTAGGATTGGGTTTTCTGCTTAGCCACATGCGAAGTATGACAATGAAGTGTCGTAGACTAATTTTGGAGTAAGAGTTTTGAAAAGGCTTGCAAATGTTTTTTTCCAATATAGTAACTGATAAGCGTATTATTTTTCCCTGAGCCTGGATCTGCTGGAGGTTTCTTCCTGTTAAAAGGGAGTTTTTCCTTCCCACTGTCACTAAAGTGCTGCTCATAGGGGGTCATATGATTGTTGGGTTTTTCTCTGTATGTGTTATTGTAGGGTCTACCTTACAATGTAAAGCACCTTGAGGCGACTCTTGTTGTGATTTGGCGCTGTATAAATAAAATTGAATTGAATTATTTTATTATTATCTATATTTTAATCATACATGTTTGTGTAATGAGCCTTTACCTTAGTGAGGGATCTCTCTGCTAAGGTTGACCTCTGCTGTGAAGAATGTGTGATATGAAAGTAGCTAGCTAAGCTTTGCATGTTAACTCCCTGCTCCTTCTCTAAATCTAGCTTTAACTTTAGATCCTCCATACCCGGCATGCAAGACGGCTTCCTAATTTCCTGAAAATGTTTTGTCTTTATCACATTCCAGATATGGTTTGGTTGAAAGCACTTAAACCGGTTGGGTTTCTATTAGTGGTGCAACGGATCACAAATCTCATGGATCGGATCACGGTTTTAAGTCACAGATCGGATCAATTTTCGGATCAGCAAAAAAAGGAAAAAAGAGAGAATTTTAACATTTACTTATTAACTTATTTAAGTAATTTTTGCCTATTAAAACCTTCAACTCAAGACTCATTCCACGGAACTGTATAAAAACAAATTAAGGTGCAGTACAGGGCTTTGTATCTACCACTCCGCTGTGATATAATGAGCGGTCACGGTCACGTAGCTTTCCGTTGACCTGCAGCTCCACCCATTTGTAGCAGTTAGAGCAACAGAAGATGCCTGGGACAGTTCAGCCATAACTTTAATCTTTTCCTGCTCATACATGCCTGGAACGATCTTGTCACTGAAGTGGATGCGCAACAGGATATCATAGCCTGGCTCAAGCACGTTCATCGTAGTTTAAACCCCTTGTTTTGCACAGGAGAGTACAGCCTCATGTCTGCAGCTAAACACCCCAGTAGCTTCTGTAATAGCTTTAGCCGGTCGAACTGGGCAGCAAAGGGCTGCTTAAATACTGCAAACTCCTCTGCTCCTCCACTTGGACCGCTAGCGCTGACCATAGCTATCGCTTGACAGACTGACCACACGCACCACACTCATACTTTTTTTCCTTCTTTTTCGAATCTTCGGATCACGTGTGTGCCGAACCGTGGAGTGGGATCGGTTTGGATTATGGATCAACCGTGATCCGCTGCACCACTAGTTTCTATATTGCTGTAGTAGTTCTCGTGTAAAAACAAATGTGCTACACTTATCTTTCCATTTTAGTGTGTGCTTACTGTTTTACAATACTTTTAATTCAAACCTAGCATTTCCTGCCGATTTGACTTAACATGAAAAACTTTTCGCTTGCAAACCACAGGAAGGAAGTGGCATTTGTCACAGAGGTTTGAGCGGGTTTGATTCACACAGCAATGTTTCTTTATTTTTTATCTGCCATTTTCATTTGTAAATAATAGTTAAAGTAACGGTTAAAGGTTTTTTGGTCAGTTGTTTTTAAAAATTGTATGGTACCTTTTTCATAAATCCTTATTTGGGATTATACGTGACTTTTTGGTGAATGAACATGTGGTCTTTTTGTGGAATAGGTTTTATTGTTGTCTTCTAAAGATAGTTATTAGAAGTTAATATAAGCTACAGTATCGTGCTGGTATGTGACATATGTGGTTCTTCAGGCTGCACTTGTTGAACTTGCTTGGCCCAGTAAGCACAGAAGCTTAGAGCTGGATATGGAAGAAACTGATTATATCAAGTGTTATTTTGTGCGATATTGGTTATAGCTTTAATATTGATTACATTGACTACAGTCTGCACAGTCTCCACCAAACATTGACTTAAGGCAATTAAAGGGGGAAAAAACCTTGATTCCAGGTGTGGAAGAGAGGGAGAGTCCTGAGCAGTCCATCTTAGTGAGGTGTGCTCCATCAGCTCAGTGACCCTTGGTCTGTATTTCTTTGATTGATTCTCATATTTACCATCCCAACTTGAAAACATGGTTTTCAACATTTGGATAATGGCTGTGCTCAGTTTTGGGCACAGCTGGGCATTCACAGAGGAGAGGGTGTGACTCACTTTCACCACAAAGGCCATGTTCTTAGCTGTGTTAGCACCATCACCACAGCGAGAAAGTCTTGGTCACCTGCGGCCTTTCTGTCCTAATAAGTGGTTCTGAATTGTAATTATAAATTAATGCAGTTATTGCACATATCTGGCATTTGAGTTTTATGGCTTTAAAAGGTTTATATTTTTTAACTTTTTGGGGTTTTTGTTTTGTTTTTGTTTTTTTAAATACAGCTCTGCCTACGACCGGGAGAACAAGATACGCGTGGCCATCAAGAAGATCAGCCCCTTTGAGCACCAGACCTACTGCCAGCGCACCCTGAGAGAGATCAAAATCCTTCTGCGCTTCAAGCACGAGAACATTATCGGAATCAACGACATTATCCGTGCACCGACCATCGAGCAGATGAAGGATGTGTATCCTCACTGAAGCATGTTTGATTGTAAAGCGTCTCATTCTTGTGTTTGATGGTTTTCTTTAGCTGCTGGTCAGATCGGTATTACCACCAAACGTTTGTGGTCAAGAGGTTTTTATTTGTCTTCCATTACATAATAGCCACCTGTCGCCATACAGTTGGCAGAGATGCTTTTCGCTGTAGCCAAATGGTAGCAGACTATCAAGCCTGCAGGCACTGTGTATAGTTTTACACTGCGTCTGTGACTGAAGCCTGCAGCTGCTCAGCCTGGCAACACAAGCATGTGCCCAAGAACAAATACTAAATTGCACTGGCTTTCTTTCACCAAGAGTCGTCAGGGAGGTGGAGTCCACCTGGACCAGTTTCAGTACATATTGGCCTCAAGAGCACCAATCAGAATCCTCATGCTTAGGGACTTTGAAACTTGACTAAAAGTCCTAAAAGACCCAACAACTGATCAGATAGTTTTGTATTTTTGCAGCTGTGCATCCATCCGCCTTTGCTCTTATCAAGTCTTCCTTTAACAAAAAAAACAAAGAAACATAAAACAGTGAATAGTTTTACTGAACTTAAGTGTCAGTGAGCTTTCAGCATGATGAATACATTTACCAAAATTTACCATACTGACTAATAATGGCCTCGTAAGTGAGTCATGACTATTGACTGTCTGTAAATGATGTACGTAGTCACTCTGACGCCACACGTTAGATTGTGAAACTCTGTTTTGAATCCTCGTGTGTGTGTGTGTGTGTGTGTGTGTGTGTGTGTGTGTGTGTGTGTGTGTGTGAACATCTTTGTGGGGGCCAAAAATTGTAAGTTTACTCTACTTGTGGGGACCAAAATGTCGTTTTAGTGTCAGGGTCACGATTAGGTTATGGTTAGGGTTAGGCATCCATTTTTGATGGTTAGGGTAAGCGGCTAGGGAAAGCATTATGTTAATGAGATGTCCCTGCAAGGATATAAATACACACGTGTGTGTGTGTGTGTGTGAGTGATTTTTTTTCAGTATAAAAGCCGACTTTCCTTAACCTGGAACCGTGCAGATATATTGTCCAGGATCTAATGGAAACAGATCTGTACAAGCTCCTGAAGACTCAACACCTGAGCAATGACCACATCTGCTACTTCCTCTACCAGATCCTGCGAGGGCTCAAGTATATCCACTCTGCCAACGTACTACACCGTGACCTGAAGCCTTCCAACCTTCTGCTCAATACCACCTGTGATCTCAAGGTAGCGTCTCAAGCAGATGCTGGCTTCATTTAAATGCTTGTT